TGCCTGAATTTGCATTTCCAGCACAGTGCCTGGCACATAGTAGGAACTTAATAAATGCATGCTGATTGATTGGGTAGAAAGGATGTCCCTATGAGTAGGGAAGGGGAAGAGATACATTTGGAATGAGGAGGGGTTATGTAAAAGCCACATATGTCAATAAGTATTAAAAACAAAAGGGAAATTGGTGCCATCAGTCTGCTAATAAATAGTTATTAAGCACCTATTATGTGCCAGGAACTGTGCTAAGCCTTGGGGGTACAAAGAAAGTTTCTGCCCTCTAGGAACTCACAATCTAATAGGGGAAGACAATATATTAAAAGAGGCTGACATGAAGAGGGGGAAAGGGAGAAGGAAGGGGGAGAGAAGCTATTCAGGGCATGAAGTCCAACACTCAGGTCGGAAGTAATGAGATGTCTCGGGCCTCCTCTTTAAATGATGGAGGGTTTGGGAGGAGCTCTCCAAGGTCTGCCCTCTACACTCTCCAGTCAGAGGGAGGTAGGAGCCCAAGGGGCAGGGGGTACTGAGAAGATGGGAGCTTCAGAATTGATTTTACATTGCAGGAAGGTGAATTTCTGGAGTCAATGATGAAATCCAGGTAAACAACCAAGTAGGACCCATTAAAAGGGGGCTCAGGCTTTGGTAATAGAGGATCTCTGAGTCCCTGAACCTGCTAAGAACCCTACCTGAGATTCAATTCAACAAACAAACATTAATTCCTGACAATGCAGGAAGCAAAGATACATAAGAAGCTCACATTTTGCTTGGCAGGATGCTTCGTCTACCCAGACAAGTAAACACCAATTTTATACAAAGTTATTTCAAGAGAGGAAGCACCCTCATAATTGGAGAGTGTGGGTGAGGCAGGAAAGGCCTCCATTAACAATAACAAACAAACAACAATTGCTAGCATTTAGATATTATCTATCTATCTATCTAATCTATCTATCATCTGTCTTTTTATTGGCAGCTAGGTAACACAATGTCTAGACTCTAGAATGCTGAACCTGGAATCAGGAAGAGTTGACTTTAAATCTAATCTCAGACACTAGCTATGTGACCCTGGACAAGTCACTTAAACTCTGTCTGACTCACTTTCTTCAACTGTAAAATGAGGATAATAATACCACCTCCTGACCAATGTCACTGTGAAGATCAAATAAGATGATGTTTGTAAAGTGCTTAGGGCAGTTCCTGGCACATAGCAATTTATTTATAGCCCTTGAAGGTTTTCAAAGCATTTTACAAATACCATCTCATATGATTCTCAGAACCCTGAAAGGTAGGTGCAATTGTTGTTCTCATTGGGAGATAGTGTATGAATTGTAGGAAAAATAAGGATGCCAAAAGATGGTGAGGAGGATGCAATGCATTCTGGTGTGGGACTCAACCAGTGCAAAGATGGATGGGGAACGACCAGTCATTCTGTTTGACCAAAGCAGAGAGCATGCCAAGGGGAATACAGCTAAGAGTGGAGGGGCACGTGGGAACTGGCACATGAAAGAATTTCAATGCATGGCTGAGTTCAAACTTGAGATCCGCTTGGCGAGCTTCACCTCTTCACAATGGGAGGAAAAAGGGCTTGTTCAATGAGAAGTCATGTTAATGTCAGCACAGTGCTGGTGTTCATGGCTGCTTCTCTTCTGCCACACACCTCCGGTATTTCTGAGGAGTCATGGAGAGCTCTGATGAGATCTCTTAGCGACAGGCAGAGAGTTCTGAATGGAGGATGGTTGATGCAAATAGGAAGTCCTCTCAGGACAACTGGGACATCTCGTGCTAGCTCTAATACTTACTACCCATTTGACCTTGGCCTAGCCATTGATCCCTTCCTGGCCTCAGTTTTCTTCTCCATTAAATGAGGTATTGAACCCTCTTAACTCTGGAGCAGCTATGGGGTATAGTGGATAGAGTGTCAGACCTGGAGTAAGGAAGAATCATCTTGCTGAGTTCAAATCTGGCCACAGACACTTATTAACTTCGTGAGGCACCTGGGCAAGTCACTGAACTCTGTTTGCCTCAGTTTCCTCATCTGTCAAATGAGCTGGAAAAGGAAATGGCAAACCATTCCAGTGTCTTTGCCAAGAAAACCCCACAACGAGTCACAAAGAGTTGGATATGACTGCACAACAACAAAAATGGATTGATGTACTATAAGGAAAGAAAGATGGAATTCAGGAACTCCAGGGTAAGCCCTGCATGCAGTGACACAGAGCAATGTAAGCAAAATCCAGGAACAACATGCACACTGATCACAAGAAAAGGGAAAAGAGAACAGCCCTAAATGACTCCAAATACAATAACCCTTCTTGACTCTAGGGGACCCAAGGTGAAGTTCATCTTCCTCCTTTCAGTGGCAAGGTGGTTGATTATGGATTCAGAAGCACATGCAGGGTCAATTTGTTGGTTTGTTTTGATGAATTATTTTTTTTCCTCTTTATTCCAGGAGAGTGTTCTGTCATTAGGATGAGTTATTTATTGGGTAGTGACAGAGATGTGAATAAAAGGAATAGGGATGAGACCTGTGATTTCATTAATATGGGGAAATCCTGATGAGAAAACGCCCTTTACCAATACAGACTAACACCTTCTTTGCAACTTATGATCTTAGAGAGTTCCTTAGAGCACTGAGAGGTTAAGTAACTTGGCTGTTGTATAGTAGGTGCTTGGTAAATGTTTGTTGACTGAGACAATCACATAGTCAGTTTGTGTCTATTGAATATAGTTTACACACACACACACACACACACACACACACACAGAGTTGCTCATGAACTTCTGTAATTTGGGAGCTAACGATCTTTCCAAGGTGAGTGAGACAGGGGGATTGTCGTGTGAAGGGTTAAGTCTCCTACAGTGAATACGGTCTGAGCAGCCCCACCTGTGTGTACAGTATACTTATAGGATTAGAGCAAGCTTGGAAATCATGATATGTTTTACCTAGAGCAAGTACCTTACTGCTTAAGCTTCTATTTCCTTGAAGGAGAGGACAAGAAAACCATCAGTTCTCGGCTACTCAGGTGCAGGGCCCTTTGCTTATGGGATTTAGTGAAGAGCTTAAGTACAAGGGGATGAAGGAGGCAGGCTTGGGTTGGTTGGTTTTCTTTTTAAATAAGTTTCATCAAACCTATTTTTGATACTTGAGATTCCAAATAAAACACACCAGTTGAGTGGAGTACAGGCTTATGCTGTACGCTCTTTAAAGACTCAGCTCAGGGACTACCTCCTCTAGGATACTTTCCGGATCTTCCTAGAAATGATTGCTGTCTTTGTCCTTGAATTACAAGTCTGAAAGGCACTCTCTCCTAAGAGTGCCCCAACCCCACCCTCTTCCCATCCTGCCCCCACCCCCAGAATCCATTGTTTCCTTCAAAACTCAGCTTAAGGACTAGCTTTTATATGAAGCTTTTCCTGTCTCTCACCAGTGATATTTGCCCCCAAATTACTGTGTGTTTGTTTTCTTACATACCTTTATATACCTGTGCACACACAGGTTTTCTCCCCTGCTAGAATGTAAGTTCCTAGAAAACAGTAACCATTTCATTTTGCAGCTAGGTCTCAGAGGGAAGAGCAGGCTGGATTTGGAAGCAGGGACACTGGAATTTGAATTCTTCCTCAGAGACTAACTGGCTGGGTGGCCCTGGGCAAGTCATTTCATCTCTCTTGGTCTCAATTTCCTCATCTGTAAAAAATGGGGCTAAAAACAGCACCTCTTTCACAGCTTTGTTTAGAGATCAAAGAGATAACAGATGCAAAGTGATTTGTAAGCCTTAAAGCACTAAATAAAAGCTGCTGTCATCATCACTACCATCATCATCAATTTTTGCTCTTTTAGCCTTTCCACTTGGAAACCAGTCCTTAACATGCAGAGAGCACTTAATAAATCATAGCTTCATCTGCATATTTAGTAGTTTATGGGATGTATTTCCCCCTCCCCAGGACATGCCTTAGGAGCAAGGATGGGTTTTCATTTTGTATCACTCTGTATCCCTGGTTCTTAGCTTGGTGCCTGGAACCTAGTAAGAGCTTAATAAATGCTTGTTGAATTGGACAGTTCCACCTCATCGATGTCATTCTTCTGTATTAGAGTCTAAGCTTCTTGAAAGGGATCCTCTCATATCTTTGGGCTTAGGGATAATAATAGCATCTACCTTCCAAGACTGGAAGGTTGTTGTTGTAAGGTCAGTACTTAGGACAGTACGTGGCACATAGTAAGTGCTATATAAATGTTAGCTATTATATGCCTTATTAATTACAGTTAATATAATATAAATAATAGAATTGATTATATATTATTTATATATGTGCTTCTAAATACACACATACACATATGTGGTAACAGTTAACATTTGTCTAACACTTCACAATTTACCAGCCCCTTTGCATATGTAATCTCATTCTAACCTCACTACAACCCTGGGAAGTCAGGGAATACGAGCGCTATTATTCCCATTTCACAGATGGGAAAACTTGGTATTGAAAGACTAAGTGGTCTATCTGATGTCTCCTAGTTAGTTACAGATAATCTATTTAGCCCAGCCTCCTCATTCTGTAAAGGAAGTAAGGAGACTTACCATAGATCACCTAGGTAGTAAGTAGCAGAATTGGGATTTGAACCTAGATCCTTGGACTCTGAATTCCACCATTTTTCCAACCAATCATGAATGCCCTAGTCTGATTTGCTAGAACCTGGGAATGGACCATTTGCCAATCAATGACAATTACAGATTCCTTTGGCCTCCAAGAGTTTATTGATTATGGTTGAGGTGGGGAAGTATCAGCCACCGTGACACATTTGACATTGACCTCTCGTAAATGTTAAGAACTGAAAAGGAGCTCAAATATCACCTTCTTTAACCCTCTTGTTTTCCAAGTGACAAAACTGAGACTCAGGAATGACTTGCTAGAGAGCCAAAGATAGTTGAATAAAAGGTCTGACAAGTGGGGGTTAGCAGAATCTCTAGGAAAGAAATCTATGCCAATATAGTTTTGAATAAGGTACTTTTATTTTTTTTTAAAAAAGAAGCTCACACACATATGTTGCAAAAATTCACGTAGAAAAATATCATTTTTGTTGGGGGCTAGGTTACTGATTCATACCATAGACAGTGAGAGATGGTGGTTGGATTGGTGGGCATTGGGAGAAAGAACCCAAACTGAGTTCTGGAACTGACATGACACATTTGCTCTTGGGTGAAATTGTCAAGGCATGGGCCATCTTGCCTGCTCTGACACTGTCAAACAGTTTCTAGTCATGCATCTCGTTCCCAAGGGAGTTAACCGTGACAAATTGTTTTCTAAAGTTCTTTTTTGGAAGCAAAGCTTGTGTTTGCCATTCTGCTTTTGCAACACTTAGATCACAGTAAAAAGATGCCCATTTATAAATCTCCATGCTGAGAAAATGAAATTTGGAACAGTGGGGAGAGAGTGCATTCCAAAGCGATTAAAGGTTATCTTAAGAAGCAAACAAGCCTGAAAGGGAGTGAGTAATTAAGGCGAATCATCCTGAGATTTCTAGAAGTGGGTCTAAGCTTGATCATGGGTGCTGGTGGCATTGCATCAAACTTCAGCACAGAGCCTGGGCTCCAGGAGGATGAGCTAGGCCAAATTTTCATAAGCTTACTTCAGCAGTTTTGTTGCCGATTGAAAATTAGCCCTTTTAAGATGAGGACTATTAAAAGGTTTTTTGTTTTGTTTTGTTTTGTTTTGAAACCAGATGGAAATAGGTAGTGCATTGAAAAGACTTCCGGACAACAAGAAAATTGTCTATCCCACCCCACCCCCTTCCCCAATGCTTCTTCCTCTACGAGGCACCTTAGCAATAGGACATTTACTAGGACAGAGACTTGAGGTTAGAAGGGACCTTAGAGGTCATTGAGAAGGGGAAACTGAGGCCTTCAGAGAGGTAAGTGATTTGCCCCAGATAACACAGGTAATATATGTAGCATAGATAGAAGTTGAACTCAGGTCTTCTTACTCCAAGTTCTACTGCCCTAGAACGAATAGGAGAGTTGTCTCCTGCATTTAAACCTCTTCTTCTCTTGATGTAGGAGGTCACTGGGTCATCCACTTAGGGGAATAGGCCTTGCCCTGCCCATATAATCACTGACTTTCAGGATCTGAGACCTAGAATCTGTTCATGGATGGACTTTACAAGGGCTATCCAATGTCAGAGTTGTTCTCTCTTCCCTCACCAAACCATATTCTTCCCTTCACCTTGTTCAGTGAGGTTAAAGGGGGGCAATTTCTTATCAGATTTTCCTCCACTGCATCCTTCAGCTTGCTACCTCACTGATACCAGGCCATCAGTAATTTGGGTACTCAAACATAGCAGCTGCAACTTCTTCCCCTCATGTGAGGAATCTCAGGGAAAGGGTCAGTTCAATCGTGAGCTACAACAATTTAAGGTAGCATCACCTAGTGTTTGAACCTGCCAAAAGATGACTTCCCTCACTCAATATGGTTCCTTTGACAGGATTTGGAATTTAGAATATTTTTTAAGGAACTAATTGCTTTTTCTTATACTGTGAGATAGGCCTGTCAACTCTGTCAGATCTTTAATTCACATGTCATTTTTGTTTTGTTTTGTTTTGCAGGCAAGAAACAGCTGGAATCAAGACCGAGACCTCTGGGAAAGGAAAAAAGGGTACAGGAATCAGACTCCTCAGCTAGCATGGCTTCTTGATGGGGCTCTGTGGAGGGTGAACCCTGAAGAAAGCCAAACTTGGCATTCAGAATGAAACTTTGGCAGGAGATAGAGGTCTGGTTATACCATGTGATAGCTCAAGCAGAATCCCGAGGTTCCCAAGGGAAAATCCCAGCCATAGCTTCTTGAATCCATAATGATAAAACTATCTTACCTTTATCTAAAGTGTACAAAGAAAAGTTTGTTTCACCAACTTAGTCTCATTTGGTTCTCACAACAACACTGTGAGGTAGGCTAGGAGAGGCTTTATAAAGTCTCTCCCACTTTACAGATGGGGAAACTGGGGTTTAGAGAGGTTAAATGGTAGGATTATTAAGTGGGAAAGCTAAGGATGAAACCCAGACCTTCTGGTCCCTAATTCAGTGAACTTTCCATTGCTTCATGATGCCTTCAAAGAGAGGACCTCCTCTTCTCCCTTCTCCCTCACTGCCACTGACTACCACTGCCCCACCAGAAATATAAGGACTACTTTGGCACTGCTCACACCTTCAGTTCCCAGTTATGTTTGTTTAGATGGACCATTTGAAACTGTCTCATCTCACACGGGTCTTACTTTTTAAAACAGACATCCTCTAGATCAGGAGTTCTTAACCTGGCCTTTCCCTCCCTCCAATGGTCTATGAATTGAGTCTAGAGGGTCGGGGAACTTGGATGTTAAAAAAAAATCCATCTTTATTTTCACAAACTTCTAACTGAAATTGAAGATTTCCTTCAATTATTTTACAATATCATTTTGAGGACTCTATAGGTTTTACCAGACTGCCAATAAGTCCATGACATATTAAGGGTTTAGAATCCCACTATTTGGAGTCCATCTTTGTTTTACCTTTCAGCAATTTTTAATGCATTTTTTTGGCCTCCTCCCTAGAGCAGAAATCAAGGAAGAACCTAACACCCGGCCTTGCTTGCCCACTTCTGAAGCTGTCCACAAGTGGACTTTTTCCGAGTGCAATGCAACAAGTATTTATTGAACACCTACTATGTGCCGATTACTGTTCTAGACACTGGAGATACAGAGGCAGAAATGAAATGGTACCTGCCCTCAAGGGGCTGACATTCTACTGGGGGGAAGGGGAGAAAAAGAATATCAGGCACATTCCCAGGCCCAAAGAGGTCCTGCACCTCTTTTAGGTCAGACCCACAGTGCAGACCCTGTCATAAGACTCCACGCTTGGCACTGTTTTTGCTCCTGTTCTGGCTTTAGCTTCTCATGAGATGCTCCGTTTACACAGGTGACCAAGCTGAAGGAAAAGAACAGACCCTCCCGGAAGCAGAGATGCTGACAGCTCATAAAACAAAGCACAAAGGCACTGGGGAGAGAGCCCTGGAGCTCACACTTCTTCTTCTTCTTCTTCTTTTTTTAAAGGTAGTTCAAAGCAAAGACAGTTAAACTGGGAGTGGAGATCAAGTCAGATTCACTTCAGGATTTAGAATTGCAGAGCTGCTTGGTGGCACCTGAGAAGTCATCTAATCCAGCCTCAATCTGTACAAGAATATTCGTCTGCAGCATCGTTGGGATGAGAGGGGTACCCTCATTTGGTGCCTTGGCTGGCCCTGAGTGCCATTTAAATATTAAATAGGATGCTGGGTCACAGATTTAGTGAACCAGTCAAGAAGTGGGGGCTTGAGTGCTACTTGAAGCCTTTGGCATGGTGGATGGGCCCCCCTTCTCCTCTCCTGACCTCCCTGACTCTGGCCCCCTTTTGCTTTTAGAGAACAAAGTAGAAGAAGCAACTATGGGTTGGGCCCCAGTCACCAGCCAGGGCTACCAGAAAGCTGGGCTCCAACCTCCCCAGCAGTAGAGGTAAGGATAATAGGGGTAGCTGTTATACATGGAGATCAGTGAGGCCCCAGAGAAGTTTTCTTCTTTTAGGCTGGGCAGGGAAGAGTTCTTATCGAGGTCTCCCAGGTCAGAGGTCAGCTGTTTTCTCTTGGTCTTATACCGCCTGTTCTGGAACCAGATTTTGACCTGGGTCTCGGTGAGCTTGAGGTTTTTGGCCAGGTGAGCCCGCTCGGGGGCCGACAGATACTTCTGGTGGCTAAACTTCCTCTCCAGCTCAATGACCTGGGTGTGGGAGAAGGCAGCCCGGGACCGCTTGGGTGGCTTCAGGGCTTTGGGGGAGGCAGCACTGGCAGGGTTTGCACAGTCCAACAGACAGGTCTCAAAGTGTGCATCTGGAACATGGAAGGGAGAAAAAGGGCAGGGAGGGAGGAGAGAAAGTTACATATTAGCAGGGAACAGGACATAACAGCACCAGGCTTTATCTCTGCAGAAAGAGAACAGAGTAGGCCACTGTGAACCTGGATACATTTGGGCTTTTTCACATAGCTGAGGAATTCCCTTGAAGTGCATAGTGTGTGTGCGTGTGTGTGTGTGTGTGTGTGTGTGTGTGTGTGTGTGTGTGTGTGTGTACTGGGGAGGGGGATTGCGGGTGTCTAGTTTTCTAACAAGTCTCTGACACTTAGGGTCTGTTTGACTTTAGGGAGTCACTACACTTCTTTAAGACTCAGTTTCCTCTTTGGTTAGATTTGATGATATCTAAGATCCCCCCCCACCTCTGAAAGCCTCTGACCCCTAACCAGAGGAACTCATTAGAGACCTTTGAAATACTTGGTGAGTTCTGGTGGAGATATCCAAGTTACATATATCAGAACAGCAGCTATCACAAGGGGGGAGGGCACGACTAGGAAACTGAAAAGGAAAGCAGAGAGGAGACAGTGGGTGTTGCATTTGAAAAGGAGCTATACAAAGGGGAAAAGATGCCTAATGTGAAAGGGATTAAAAGTGGAATCGACCTAGTACACCTTTTAGTCTGAAGGATGTGTAGCATAAATGGAAAGTAAGAAGAGACCTGGGTTTAAATCTCTTCCCACCTGTGTAACCCTGGGAAAGTCATTTAGGCCTCAGAGCCTCAGTTTCCTCAGCTGCAAAATGAGACTAATGATATACCACCTACCACCCAGGCTTGTGAGAATCAAGTGAGATAAGCTAATCAGAACCTATGTAAAGTGAGATGATGTGGAATAGTGGGATTTGGGGCCAGGAAGACCTATGTTCGAATCCTACCTAGGACACAACTCTTTCTGTGACTGGGGGCAAGTCATTTCATCTCTTAGTGCCCTAGGCAGGTAACTCTCTAAGACCAAAGATTTCAGAGAAGGTAATGATGATCTTCATTGCTAGAAGAAGCCATACCCTAGTGAAATCAGGTAGATTTGCTATCCCTATAAGTGATCGGAGCTTTAGAATAGCAAATTTACAGGTCATATGGCTAACCCTCTTCCCCCCTCCCCAAGGCAGTGCTGCTAAAACAGGCACCAGAATGTAATGCAAATAACGGACTAGGAATGGGAAGCAAAGAACGAAGTGAGTTGCTAAGGGGTCGGGATAGCTGCTGCAAGTTGAATTTTACCTCCAGCCTCATTTCTCCGAGAGGGGCTGGCCTCCAGTTACCGCCGTTTAAGTGGAGGGAAAAGGAGTCCCCTTCACTCGTTCGACAAGTCATTCACTAGGGCGGATTGGAAGGATTTAGGAATCTGAAGGCAGTAAGGACACCCCCAAACACCCGACGCTGTTCTTTTGTTGACTGGAGGGCTTTAAACTGTGTGCCCCGGAGAAGAGAACCCCCCTCCCAGAGAAGAGGAGAGGGCTGGCTGTGGGCACAGCAAGGAAGGCCCCTCTCAGGTCTCAAAAGTCTCCACAGCCCCAGAGGACGACTGGGGTGGGGTGGGGGGGGGGGTGGAGAAAGTGCTCTAATGTGCTCCAGCAGGCGAGAGACCGTGGGATCATGGAGTTAGAAGTGGAAAGGGCCTTGGGGCTGGCCTGGCCCCATCCCGGAATGCGAGAGGAGGTCAGAGGAAGAGGACAGCGTCCCAGCAAAGCAGGGCACCGAAGTCCCAAAGTGCCAGTCGGGCAGAAAGCCCAAGGCGGCAGTTGGGTAGTGGCCTTCCCAAGAGGGTCCTTTTCTCTCCCCCTATCCCCTTCCCCACCTCACCTCCCGGGGCAGCCGTGGGAGCAACGGATCTTTAACGTTATGGGAGCACTTGGAGATCAACCACTGCTGCGGCCCCCCCCCCCCCCCCCCCCCCCCCCCCCCCCCCGGCCCCATTTTACAGAGAAGGAAGAGGAAGCTAGGGAAGGGGGAGAATGACTTGTCCAAGGTCACAGAGACGAGTTAATGGTCGATTCAGGAGGGGAACCCTAGTGTCCTGGTTCCCGGCTCTCTAAAAGATGGGATGGGGGACAGGCTCTTTGAAGGGCCTCCGGCCCCCGGCAGCCCCTTACCTGACTCTGTCCCCGAGGGAGAGGAGCCCGGCTCGGTGCTCCGGTCAGGCTCCGCGGGCCTCGCTGGCTGTTCATCCTGGGGCGCCGGGCCGCTCTCGGACCCTGACAAGGAGCCAGGCTCGGCCTCGGGCTGCGGCGCGGGCTCAGGCTCTGGCTCGGGCCCGGGAGCAGGGCTGAGCCTCCCGACGCTGCGCCTCTCCAGTCCGTCCCATAAGATGTCCTGGATAAGGAAGGAGGTGAGGGGCTTGGCGGGGGCCAGGGCCGTGCCCCGAGGGCTGCGTGGCGGCGGCTGCTCAGGGGTTCCGGCGGCTGATCCCCGGAGCCCGGAGGGCCGAGGTGGCTCCTGGGCGCTCAGCATCCTCTCCGGCTAGGCGGGCAGCTGCCCCTGCTTCTGTCTCTGTCCCCGCCTCTGCCCCTGCCCCTGCCCCTGCCCCTGCCCCTGCCCCTGCCCCAGTCCTGATCCCCGGCTTGGCTGGTAGTAGGCTCTTTTAGCTCCGGCCACCACTTTCGCTTTCTGCCGCTCGGGCTGCTTATATATAGCCCGGGGGGGCGGCCAGGAACCGGGTCCGCAGCTGATTGGCCAACCCCGAGTCTGGCCGCGCCTCCCGTTGGCCTCCGGCCTCCTCCAGGTGCTCTTGTTGCGCCGGGGGGAGCAGGGGCAGGCCTGCGGGGCAAGAGATGGGGGGGGTGTAATAGGAGGAGGGGAGGGCGCTGAAGGAGGAGAGGGGAGCTGCCTCCGCTGGGCTCCCTCCCAGCCCAGTCTGGCCCTTCTGCGTCCTGTCCATCCTCCCCGCCCCTTCTCTAGCCTAGGGGAAGCAGAGAGCGCTTTGCCCCAGGCCCTCGAAATGCCCCTCCTCGGGTTTCCAATTTGTCCCTCTTCACCTCTTCTCTGACTGTGCTGGAGAGTAAATATCCCTAATCCACGTTCCCGAGGGAAATGTCTTTTCTTCCTTTTCTAGGGTCCCAATAGCATCCCGAAGCCATGCCGCTCCAGTCCCCTTCTAGCAGTCAGACCACACCTGAAGAGCCACTGTGTTCAGTCCCGGGGGCTGCATTTCAGCAAGAACACTGCCAAGCTAGAGAGCTGCGACTAGCGACCAGCATGATGAAGGGCCTCAGGGCCCTGCCAGATGAGGACAGGGCCAAGGAACTGGACACGTTTTATCCAGAGAAAATGAGCGCAAATGGGAGACGGAGAGTGGTCTTCAAGGGTCTTAAGATCTGTTGCCTGGAGGAGGACTTAGATTCGCTTGACTTGGCTGCAGCGAGCAGAAAAGGAACAGTGAGTGAAAGCTGCAAACGATTTCATTTAGCTAGCATTGCTTAAGTACCTGCTGTATATAGCCCCCCCCCCCCCCCCCCCCCCGCGCTGTGCTGGCCGGATGGACAGCTAGCCTCAGGGCCAGGGACACTTGGGTTCAAGACTACCCCTGCCTTGGGTTCAAGACTTACCCAGGGTAAGTCACCTAACCTCTTACAACTCTAGGCAACTCTCAACATTTAACTTGCAGAGAAGATGCCAACCAGCATTGGTACTAGGTCCAGTCCCTAATTCTTTATTATGTGCATTTAATAATCTGACATTTCTAGAGTGCCTACTGCGTACCAGGCACTGTGCTAAGCAGATCCTCCAGATGAATCCCGAGAGGAAGGTGCTATTATAATCTCCATTTTCCAGTTGGGGAAATTGAAGCAAACAGAGGTTAAGTGTCTTGCTCAGGGTCACCAACCTGTTTCCCCTATTCCAAGTCCACCTTGCTGTCCATTACTAATGTCTAGGGTCTTCCTGACTCCAGACCCAGAGCTACCTTGGTGCACAAATAATACAACAATTAAACAGCTGCTCCTCTCAAGGAATCTACATTCTCAAGCATTTATTAAGTGCCTGCTATGTCCTTAGCACAGAAAGGCAAAAACAGCCTCTGCTTCCTGGAGCTCACTGTCCAATGGGGGAGATCTGTTGGAACAATGGGATCAGCAAGATCTTTGCAGGGTAAATGGGAGGAAATGTCAGAGAGAAGGCAAAGTAAATATAGGAGAAGTTGAGGAGGCAGGAACATGAGGGGGGAGGGAGGTAGGGAAGGTTTCTCCTAGGAAGTGGCAGGAGGACATTTAGGCTCCATATAAGGAAACAATTAGGACCAGCTAAGAGTAGAATGGCCTCCCCTTGGAGGTGGTGGGCTCCCCCTCTTTACAGGCCTTCAGGAAGAGAATGGAAGACCATTGGTGTACTTGGGAGAGAGGGCTCCTGTTCAGGTCCACATTGGATTAAAAGACCACTGAGGTCCTTTCTAGTTCCAAAATTCAGGGATTCCTTAAGAGCACTCATGGATGGATGCTTTGAAAGCAGTCATGGTCCTCAGTGCGCTGAGGATTCATTCGTTCCTTCTCCCCACCTCCCTTCCCTAGGTTGGGGGAGGATTTCATCTGTTGCTCTCCACCCCACTCCCCCCCTTCGTTCTATAGCTGGCAAGAGTTTTAACTCATTGGTTCTGAGGGTTAAAGGAGGCCAAAACTGCTACCAACCCCAAAGTGCTGAACAGGTTTTTTTTTTTTTTAATGTTGGTGGGAGTGAGTCTGGAAATAATAGTAATAGCTAGCATTTGTATAATGCTTACTATGTGCTTTAGAATTATAATATCATTAGATTTCGAGAACAGCCCTGGGAAATAGGTGCTATTATTGTTATCCCCATTTTACAGATGAGGAAACTGAAGCAGACAGATGAAGTGACTTGCCCATGGTCACACAGCTAGTAAATGTCTGATTTGAACTCTGGTCTTCCTGACTCTAGAACCTGGGTTCTATTTACTGCACCAACTAGTGCAGTGGAGATTGGTGAAGGAAGGAAATAAGCATTTATTAAGCACCTGCTGTGTGCCAGGCCCTGTGCTAAGTGCTGTATAACTATCATCTCATTTGGTGCAGAAGAAAATTAAGTGGGGATGACTTCTCTGAGAGGGAAACAATTGGGTCAACCTTTTGAAAATCTGAAATAAAGTCTAAACGCCTCATCTTAGGAGTCCCAGCCCCCTGTGATAGGGCCTCATTTTGCCCATCTAACCTCACCTCCTGTGGTTTAAGAAGGCCTAGTGGAAAAGAGAAAAAAACCTACCAGCCTGGGAGGCCAGAGGCCAGGGTTCGGTTCCAGCTCATGTTGCTATATGACAACAGTTAACTTTTTTCCACTCTCTGGGACCCACTTCCCTTAAGCAGACAAAGCCGAAATCGTTACATATTCAAAGCTCACTGCAAGCTTTGGGATACTGTGCCCCAGGTGTACTCTGAGTACCAGTATCACTTTGTAATGGCATCATAACCAGAGCCCAGTGTGATGTGGTCTCCTGCCTCCCTCAACCCCATCAATCAATTGACCCATATTTATTAAGCACCTACTAGAGGCACTGAGATAAGTACTGGTCCAGGTGACTTCCTCTACTCCCAATGAGGGCTAGTTCTCTGCTTGGGATCACCTGGCCAGATCCAGGTGACTGCCAGGGAGACTCTGTTCCTATGGCTTTCTCTGGACCAGGTAAGATTGCTTCACCTAATGTCCTATTTTTGTGAAACCAATATTACCTTCAGTCAGGTATGTGTGGTCTATTGACTCATCTACCAGGTTTCATTGATTCCCACACATAGCAGGCTCATTTCTGCTTCCCTGTATATTGGGAATACCCTTCCCCTTACTTCTACATGTCCAATTATTATTCAATTATTAAATATTCCATTTTCTGGGCTCAGTCCAAGTATCATCTCCTGGAAGTTTGCTTTCATTATTCTGGGTAGGTGGTGAATTCTTTGAAGACAGTTCACCTGTTGGGGAATAGTACTATGACAAGATAACAGTTTGATTTTAAAAAAAAAGATCTAGGGGTCCTAGCTTGCTGTCGCAAGCTCAAAGGGAGATAGTAGTATGATATGGCAGCTAGGAAGTGATCTCAGGATGCATTAAGAGAGGACTAATGTCTGGGACTCAGGAAAGTGACAGTCCTGCTGTCCTCTATCCTGGTCAGACTACATCTAGAGCAGTCGTGGGCACCACACCTTAGGAAGAACATTGATAAGCTGGCGGTGTCCAGTGGAGGCTAACGAGGATGGTGATCTTACTGAAGAACACGTCAAACCAGGATAGATGGAGAAAGCGGGAGTAATTACACAGGAACGAGCAGGCTCAAGAGGGACTTTGGCAGCTTCCATTAAGTATTTGAAGGGCTGTCTGTGGAAGAGTAATTAGAACTGTTTTTCTTGGCCCCTAAGGGCAGAAGGAAGGCAGGGAGGGGGTGGTAAAAGTTGTGGAGGCAGATTCAGGCTCCAGGAGTCAGGAAAACAACTCTTCAGCCCCGGAGCTGTCCCCAAGTGGCCGCCTCCTCTTGGGAGATCTCGAAGCACACCCTGGATGGGCACTTGTCAGGATTATTCTAAGGGAGAAGGGTCTTGTTCAGACACAGGTCAGACCTGATGGTCTCTGGGGGCCCTTCCACCTCTGGAGATTCTGGGATTGGGGAATGCTGGGATACTGAGGCTGGGGGATTCGGAGGTTTCCTGCTCACATCTGTTTTTAAAGCCTTCAAGTCCTTAATGTTATTGTTTCTCCTTCCTGATGAACAGGCTGTCTCCTGCTCCTTGAGGACCCCTCCTCTCCCGTCTGTCACAGAATGACAAAGAGGTCAATTCAAATGCCTCCCTAACGGCCTGTCTGCCTCAGCCACATGCCAAGAAGGTGATGTGATTTGTGGGCACTGGTTGATAGGTTTCTGTGCTGCAAATGATCTCCCCCCACTGGCCTGTCTCAGTGCCTGCAGTTCCATAATTAGAGATTTACTGCTTTGTATAAAGGTGTGCATCCCCTGTTAAAATGCAAATATCCCTGGGAAGGGTAAGATATTAATCCTTTTAACTCAGACATTAACACTATAGTATGAATCAACACATAAATTCCTTTTCAAGTAAGCAGACAAAAGATTTGATTGGGAGAGGAGGCAATGCTTATAGAGAACTGACTGGCTGTAAGAAAATCTGGGTCCTGCTCGCAGCTAGCTTTGTCACTACGAGTAAGGGATTTCGTCTCTCTGGGTCTCAGTTTCTACTTCTATCAAATTATAGAGTTGGATAAATAGTCCTTAAAGTCCTTTCTTGTTCTGTGATTTGGGGTCTAGAGTAACTGGGGAGGGGGAAAGGTGGGGGGGAATGATCCAGGAAGCTGGAGGAGGGTGCAAACTGAGAAAACTAAGTTGGGGGATGGGAAGACTGGGTGACACAGTGGACTAAAGAAGGTGTCCGAAAGAGTATGCCAGGCACTAAGATAAACTCAGAGCTAGCTATCTATGTCACACATTTTTTTTTGGAAGTGGAGCT